CACCATCACCATCACCACCACCACCACCCTTTATTATTTGGTTTTAAGGCAACAACAAAAACTCATTGCCATCCAGTTGCTTCCGACTTTCTGATCAAATTGGGCAGGGTAGAACTGCTCCTGGGAGTTTCTGAGACCGTAACTCTTTACCAGAGTAGAAAGCTTTGTCTTTCTCCAGTTAGCCCAAAGGTGGGTGGTTCAAACCCACTTGCCTCTCCGTGGGAGAAAAGATAACACCTGCTCATAAAAAATCGAGGCCTAAGGAAAAACCATATGGGGCAGTCCTAGTCTGTCACCCGTGGGGGGACTATGAGTGGAAATTAACTCCAGGGCACCCACACACCACCGCCAACCTTTCTGACAACAAGGGAGTGCTTAACCAGCCGCGCCACCCAGGGCGACAGAAAGAATGGTTAACTCCATTTCATGGAGGAGGGGAACTAAGGCACAGAGAGGTGTAAGTTCTTTCTCGATGTCCCACAGCAGCGAAACCTCAGTGCGCTTCTGCTCGGAGTTCCCGGGTCTATGGCTCCATCTTAATAATTAGTTGGACCGGCGAACCTGCTCAGGGCTGACTCCGTAATGACTGATTAGGAATGACAGGCTAATGTGAGTTTCAAAGGGGTTCCAACAGGGGTCGGCGGGCCACGGGGCAATGGCAGCGGGCCTGGAAGGGTTTCCTGAGCCAGAGGGCTGTAAATGCAACGTAGGAGTTTGCCAGGGTGCGGGGGAGGGTGCGTTCCGGCAGGTGCGATCTCTGTCACCCTAGGAACGGGAAACTGAGGCCCAGAGAGGCGAGGGGATGGGTCTAAGGTCACTGTACGGAGCCGCCCCTTTCTGGACCGTGCCCAGGGCTCGCGGCGCCTCCCCGCACCCTCCCCGGTTCCCTCCTCCGGAGCCCCTCGGGGTTACCCCCTCCTCACCAAGCGCAGGTGCCTGGCCCTCCCTCTGCTTTCCCCGGGCTCGCCAGCTCTGCAGCCTCCGGCTCCCGGGAATCCTTCCACAGCCAACTCTCTGGCCCCGCCCTTAGCGACTCGCCATTGGTCAGCATGTCACACTCGCCGCGGCGGATTGGTCTGCCTCCCTTGTCTATCCCTCGCATTTCCGGGTTTCCGCATCGGGGTCGGCCTTCCTCGGGGAGAGACGCGCCGTGGGCTACTCTCATTGGCTGCCTCTTACGTCGGTCTCGCGCAGCCAATAAGCAACAGAGGGGGCGGGGCTTGGGCGGCCGGCGGGAGTTGCGGCTGCAAAGTGTGTAGCGCGCGCGCCGCCGGGGCCTCAGTACCTCAGTTTCCTCAGCTGTCAAAACAGCCGCCCTCCTACGTGTCTCTTCAGACCACCTTAGCCACCACCTATGCCACCAGGTGCACCCGCTTCCTCACCTGTCCTCTCACCTTTCCTTCTCTTTTTCCCCCTTAAGTTTTTAGTCACCTCCTCGCGTTATGGCCGGGCCGAGTCTTGGGGGCTCCCGAAGCAGCGAGCGGAAACCCCCAACTTGACGCCACGAACCACCGAAACCGCGCTCCCGAGGACGCGGCCCCGCGCCGGTAAGCATGAAAATGTTAGTTTTCGGCAATCAGAGCTGGGTTCCGATGCAGGCCTAGCAATGGCTCCCCGTCTGTAACACGGGACCAGCACCCCGCTTCGCCTTCGCCCTCAAGTGTGGGACTCGCAGAAGGACCGCCACCTCAAGGTGTGCCCCCCGCCACCCCCCAGTGCTCCTTGGGACACTGGTGGGTGTTACGGTTGGAGGCACACCCCCCTGAGAACAAACCGGGCCGTTCTCCGCGACCCTGTAGGACAGGGCAGAACTGCCCCCGTGAAATTCCCAGACTAACCCTTTACGGGAGCAGGAAGCCTCGCCTTTCTTCTGCAGAGCAGCTTGTGGTTTTGATCCGCTGACCTTGCAGACCACACGCAGCCCAAGCCAGGGATTTGCGCCTTCTGAGCCTGGGATTTGCTCCCTCTGAGCCTGTGCTGTCCTGTAAAATGGACATCTTGCCATCGCAGGCCCTCAGGCGGTTTTGTGTCAGGCTGACCTGAGATCCCGCAGGCTCTGGATTAGAATGAGGTGTTACCAGGATTCTTTTTGGGAAAGACACCAAGTTATTGCCGCCTGATTTGTTATCCCGCAGAAGAAAGTATTAGAGTCCCATGGGGAAGAGATTTTATTATCCTTACCCACAGCGAGCCCATGGATGGATCATGACTCCTAGAGACCTGGCCTATAGGATGGAGTAGAACTGACACCAGAGGATGTCAGCTTCATGGGAGCAGACAGCCTCACCTTTCTCTGGTGGCTTCGAACTGCTGACCTTCGGGTTGGCCGCCAAGCACTTTAACCACGGTACCACCAGGCTCCCCTTTTCACTAACGTAGGTTGTATTCTGATTCTCGTTTAAGAAACCAGCTTGTCCACAGCACACAAGCAAGTGTCCAGGCTCGATGGACAGAGGTGTAAGGTGAAGGACTGATTTCAGCCTTACCCGTTGAATCATTGGAGCGCCCCATATTTATCTTTGCCACTGAGCCCAATCTCCCCCAACTCTCGGATTTCAACATGAGGCTTAGTAGCTGCTCAAGAAATACTGTTGATGACATGAATTTGAAATATCCGTAGAACAGAGTTGATGGTTACCCCCAAGGAGTCCTGTTTTGATCTTTTGAGCAAAGGCCTTGAGAATTGTTCTCTCCGAGAGCCCTGGATTCCCATTGGATGGCTGGAGGAGCCATGTCACTGTCAAAACCTGCCCCAGATGAGGGTCTGCTACTTATGGGGGATGACTGGTGATGAAAGCAGGGAGGCTCTGTGGTCAGGCAGACGTGTTTTCCAAAGCAGGTCCCCTTAACCTGCTGGGTGACCAGGAGTAGGTCACTTAACCTCACGGACAGTATCCTCACAAGGCTTAGTCTCACCCAGTGTGGTAACTCCTGGTGGACCTCCTCCCACATCAAGCCATACAGAATCCTTCAAACTTACAAAATCATACCGCCATCGACTCAATTATGACTCATCTGAACTCTGTAGGGCAGGTTAGAACTGCCTCGATGGGTTTCTGAGACTGTACAGCTTGACAGGAGTAGAAAGTCTCATCTTTTTCCCATGGAGTGGCTTGTTATTTCAAATTGCCGACCTTGAAGTTAGCAGCAAATCCTTTCATTTCCTTTTCTTTTTCTATTACTGTTCTTTGATCTCTGTTTAGAAATTTAAATGTTTTCTTCATTATTTCTCTAAATTAGGTGAATCAGAGAGCAGACACCTCTAAGTTTTGTACCCATAGCCAACTTTTGACTATGTGTTAGTCTGGGTAGACTAGAGAAACAAATTCATAAACACACATTTGTATATAAGGGAGAGGTTTATATACAAGAGGAACTGAACATTGAGAAAACATCCCAACCCAGTCCAGTCCAAGCTCATAAGTCTGATTTAAAGTCCTCTTCAGACTCATGAAACACATGCAATGATGCTGAATATAGAAGATCACAGACCAGTGGGTAGAAGGTCTTTGGTGGTAGAAATATCTCAGCGCTGGCAGGGATCTCCACGTGGCCATTCCAGTTCCCAGGGCTGCATCATGGTAGGTCCTTGTGGCATCTCCTGAGGGATGCCTCACAGGAAATCAGCCTTGTCAGTAGAGAGTTTCCAAGGGAATAGCAGAGAGAGAGAGAGAGAGGTGTCTTCCGCCTCCAAGAAGGAAGTACCAGATTTCCCTGAATTCTCAGGAGAAGGCCACGCCCACACAGAAGTCTCATTGGTTATCTCCAGATTGACAGCCTAGACTCCACCCCTACACTCTTAATCCTCAAATTGACACCAGATTAGGTGACTACCAGACTAAATCAATATACTAGTGTTCTTCTATTCGACCTATAAATGCACCTGTTTTTTTAAATCGATTTTTATAGTTCTAGGTTTAATCTCTGATCCATTTAGTCTCTGATCAATCTGAGACTAAACCTATGGTTCTATGTTTAGTCTCTGATCCATTTTCAGTTTGTTTTTGTATATGGTGTGAGAGACAGGGCCTGTTTCACCCCTCTGCAGGATATCCAGTTTTGCCACCCCCACTTATTAAAGAAATGACATCTTCCCCATGAGATAATGTTTTAGCCATTTGCCAAAGGTTCGTTGTCTCTAGTTGAATAGATTTACTTCTGGGTTCCCAATTCTGTTCTGTTGGTCTCTGTATCTATTGTTGTCCTGGGACCAGGCTGTTTTGATTACCATAGCTATTTAGTCAATTTTGAGATTCTTCTTCAGCCGTGCCTTGCTTATCCATAGCCTTTTCCTGTCCATGTAAAGTTGGTGATTAGTTTTTCCACCTCTTTAAGGAATGATGCTGGATGAGGGATCAGGATTGTATTATAGCTGAAGATCGCTTTGCGTGGTATTGGCATTTTCACCTGCTAAGTCTTCCCATTCAGGAGCATGGCATATTTGTCCATTATGTAGGTTTCCTTTGATTTCTGTAGTAGTGTTTTCTAGCTTTCTTTGGACAAGTCTTTTTTTTTT